TGGAAGACTCCCCCTGAGACTCCCCTCGTGCATGTGGGAGCACTGCAGTTCCCCAAGGTGTGTACAGACTAGTTCGACCTGCTTTGTGGGGACCTAAAAAGGCTACGTTGTGGGATGTGTTCAGGTTTTTTGCTACTGACCACATGTAACTGTGTTTGTGTGATATGATTGATTATGTATTCCATCCATGCATGAACAACTTTTTTCTTCCCATTTGACCACATTTATGAGCATATTAAAAGTATTTATGTGTGTCTTGTGTAGTATATTGCATTCAAGTGTTTGTGTATGTTTTTAAATTCCTGTGTAGGTGTTGGTCTTGCGTGTAAGGCTAGGCTTTTATTATGGTGACCCCCCCCCCCATAATAAAAGCCTGGCTTTTTTTGTTTCTGGCTCACAACATCTTTATAACACTAACCGTGAGTGTTTTTGAAAATAGTGAAAATGACATGGTTTTAGAGTGACCCAAACTAGGAATCTGTGCTCTGCATCCAACCCACACAGGTGCACACACACAGCAGTGAATAACTGGTGCCTTGGTACAGCTCAGATTTTTATTCCGCAGCAGTAGTAGCTTGTTAACGTATTAATTTGGGATATTATAAACCAAATAGCTTTGTATAGGAGCCTATTAATCCTCACTGAGATTAACTCTTTATCATTGCCTTCATAATATTAAAATCATAACAATCTAGTTCTGTTTTACTATCAAATATCTGGAAGTGATAAAGAATATATCAATATATGTAAAACATCTTTAAAAATGTTTTTTAAAAGTATTTACTAAGTAACCTGTTGCTGGAAATTGTTAAATATTTGAATAAAAATAAAAAGGCATTTCACCCTTGGTGCCCTTAGATTTGCTTTAATCGAGTGGTTCTTTTTGACTTTCACACGTTTCATACAAAGTATAAATTTAACGCAGTCTTATAAGAAAATGGTGGAGCTTTTAGGTTTATAGAGATTAAGTATAATTTGTGGTTTTAAAAACACACACAAATTCATGGACTGTTTAGCACACTTCCTCTGGGTTTGGCAGATATTTTATAATCAAATGGCTTGAGTGTTAAACCATACGAGCAGTCTAAAGTCAACTCCTGTGATGAGTCCTTCTCAAAGGCCAGTTGGTGGATCAAAATGGCAAGGATGACGAAGACTTCCACTTTTGCAATCTGATCGCCAATGCATCTTCTCCTGCCGATGGAGAAGATCATCACACTGTTGCTCAGGTCTTTATCCAGAGCACCGTTCTCATCAAGGAATCTCCATGGGTTGAAGATATGAGGGTCGAGCCACTTTTCAGGGTCGTGGTTGACAGACCATTGGTTGATGAAGACTACGGTGTCTTTTGGGATGTTGAGGCCTTCGATGGAGACATCAGAGGTGGTGGAGTGAGGGATTGTGACAGGGATGAAGCTGGTGAAGCGCATTGTTTCATAAATAAAAGCTTCTAGAACTGCAAGATCTGCTTTGTCTTCTACAGATGGCAGTCTCTCACGACCTACGACCTTGTCAATCTGCTCCTGAAGCTTGCGTTGGATTGATGGATACTTGACCAGAAGAAGAAGCATCCAGTTCAGTGCAGTGGAAACAGTATCTAGACCTGCTCCAATGAGATCTGACACTGCACCTTCAGTATGTGCCTCAGTTAAACCCGTTTCTTTGTCTGCTTGATCAATTACGCCAATAAAGGCATCGCTCATGTCTCTGGTCACCTCTGGGTCATAGCTTTGCCTGTGTTCCATGACTTTCTCTTTAACAAATGTGAAAAAGTCTCTGTTCAGCTCCTTGAAGCTCTGAAATGCAGTTCTCATGGGATTGGGAAAAGATTGCAGCCAAGGCATGACGTCCACCAAACTCCCAGCTCCTACCACTTCACTGAACCGGTTCACGTTTCCCAAAAGCATCCTGAACTCTTGGTCTTCATGTCCATAGCGCTTCCCAAAACAAAGAGCACAGATGATGTTCGCAGCAGCCACTGTGAGTTCATGAGATGGATTGAAATATTGATGGCTTGAACTCTTTCTTATAAAGCTTTCAACCAGTTCCTCAGCCTCATCTGCGATATGCTTCTCGAAGGACTTTTTCGTTTTGCTGTTCGCATTCGAGAAGGCATGAATTGTGGCCTGAGCGATCTTCCGATGTGCCTTCCATTGAGTGCTGTAGCTTCTGAATGTTATGCTCGTCCCACCAGAAACAGACTGAAAAGACACAAAGTTTGGTCTTCCGGCAAATTCTACGCTGTGTTTAAGCAGCGCCTTGCGAATTAAAGAATCTCCATTTAAAACCACAATGTAGGTGCTTCCCAATTTAATTTGGTAGACACTACCATATCTCTTTGCCAGGTTGGCGAAGGTGATGTGAGGCATTTGTCCAAGTTGCATCGCGTTCCCCACAATTGGCCATGCAAAGGGTCCTGGAAGTTTATTTTTTTTCCAAGTGTGGTTTCGGACCCATAACCAAGCCTCAAGACAGCAGAGAAAGACAAATGATCCCATGAGCACGGGCTGGATATGTCCTCTCCATTCCTTCAGGATGCCAAACTCTGATTCTGACAATGCCATGGTGTCCTTCAAGCTTTGTTCCTTTATAAATTTAGACGAGATCAGTGATGAACGGGGATCATTTCAAAACTCGTTCAGGATTTGCAGAGCTCTAAAGTTGCCCAAATAAGAAGAATGCGGTTTTCAGTCTTGACGCTGTGCTATATCTCTAAAGGAGGAGGAGTGTTGGACACAGGTTTGTTTTCTTTCCCACAATCTCTCTCTGATTCTCCACCCATCACGGCTGGAGTGCAAACAAATGGACACCCACTGGACTCCCAACACATTCCAGGGCCGTCAGCAGATGCATTGTACTGCAAACAGGTCACAGTGTTGTGGATTACATTTGATTTCAACTTTAGATGGAGAATCAAAGTCAACATAAAACACTTTTGTGCACAGTCAACGATTCAGTTTTCCAAACGGTTTAGAGGTTCCTACAAAAGATAAAAGGCAGCCAACTTAGGTGGTGCTATACTGCTTCCATGACAGTGAGTTAGTTAAGTTTGGGTTTAGTTAAGTTTTGGGTTTTGAGTTTGCAGTCATTGAAAATACTTTTTGTACAGACAGCAAATAGAGAACGAGTAACAAGATTTACACATTTCAAGGTCCATCTTAAAAAGACAACCAGGGAATACACAATGAAATTCAAGAAGATTTATGCATAAGATGTGTTTAATACATTGGTTGAAACATTATTTTTTTTAACTATTATATATGTTGTTTTGGGTCTATGTACTTTTCTGTATTTAAAAAGTATTTTAAAGATAAAATAAAACAAAAGTAATATTTGTAAAAGTAATAACCATGCTAAGTACAGTGCTAATAACGGTGCAAATACATTGCTAATTACAATAACAATAACAGTGCTGATAATAATGCTAATTACAATGCTAATAATAATGCTAATTGCAGTGCTAATAATTATGCTAATAATGGTGCTAATAGCTGTGCTAATAACACTGCAAATACATTGCTAATTACAATAACATTTTCACAAAAATGTGTGAATGAACGGAGATACAGTGGAATTACGTTTTTGATTAGGAAATTACATAAAACTTGTCATACGACATAATAATTAACATGGCAGCAGTCTCAGAAGTCGTTCTGCATAATATAGCCTTGTTAAAGACAGAAGACTAGAAAGCAATGAGTCAGTATTCTTTCTAACGAGGCTGTCAATTTAGAGTTTTTTTTTCTTTTTCTTTGCTCTGAAGTGCTGAGTTTTAAAGATGAAGAAAGCAAATCCCCAAAATGTTGTCTTTCTTTTAATTCCAAAGTAAACCCAGTAAATGGCAGGATCCAGTCGAAATTTCGATGCCAAATGAGTGCTTGTGAAATCAAATCAGTACAAGGATTGAGTTTGTAACTCATGAATGTTTATCATTAGGCTTTAAACAAAGAACAGACTCAAACAATGTAGTTTAAAAGTGACTATCATTTATCATGTACTGCAGTCAGAATAATGACTGTTACATAATCTTAATATGATCGTTTAAGATGTGGCTTAACAGAAATATCTCTGAAACTGACAGCAAACAGAAACACAGGCCATGAAACTAAAAATAATCACAGAGAGACGAGTAAGTGAAGACAGATGCAGGCGGTTCATGCAATGAAGCCTTCTTCAGACGCCTCCTGAATTCTGTCCGATCTGTCATTTTTTATTTTGATGTATGTTCTGAAAGTGAAAGGGAAGGTCACAAAAATAGACAAAGTCCAGTTTGTAAAACATTTCTTTATTGATTTCATTTGTAGCTTAATTCCCATATATCTAAACATTCCTATATGTAAAAAATCTAAAACTTCATGCACTTTCAGTGTAAACATTTCACAACAATCCAATGTGATAGAAGGGTTTTTCTTTAAATAGGAGTTCTGCAGATATTGTTGGGGAGCAATTTAAATATTTAAGCAAGGGTTTAATAGAAAAAAAATTGGTAATTCACAACATTTCAAAATGCATTCCCTCCTAAAATAAACTATGCATTTCATGGATCTACAATAATACATACATTTAATGTCTAATGTCACAATACACAATCACATTGTTACACGGCATAATTAAACACACTCCTACGATTGATATAAAAGTCCTCTCGATGACTGCTTTCTAATAATATGATCCACAAACACTTGCCTAAGATAACATAATAACTGCGTTATCTCCAGTGATGCAGGCTTGTGTTTGACTTTAAACATTCATTTGAAGCAGCGGTAGACAACAATGTTCCTGGGGTTTTAGCTCCAGCACTGCTTCAATATAAAAAACTCTAAATAAGCCAAGAGGAGCTTCATCAGCATGATCTGGTGTGTTCCTTTAGAGCCAAGGGTACTAGTTGCACATAGAAGCTTAGATGGACTGTATGAGTTTTTACATTTATGCATTTGGCAGACCCTTTTATCCACAGCGACTTACATTTCAAGCAATAAACACATTCAGTTATTTCTTGCTTTTCCTGGGGTTTGAACCCTTGACCTTTGAGCTGGTAGCACAATGCTCTACTGACTGAGCCACGGGAATAAAACTATCATAATCTAAAGGTGATTGTTTAACAAGAAATAAACGTCAATTACACTAACACTGTGGGGACACTATTTAACTTGATTAGCCATCACTTCTAGCATATGAACTGTGTAAATATCCTTAAATATATAAGAGAGCGTTCAGTGCAGCTTTGTTATACTCAGAGTTATAAGAAATACACTTCTGCCTGGATGTGTCACTCATGCTGGTGAAACCAGGCCTAAAGGTTTTCCTCTGAGCTTGGCTGAGATTGAATAATGCAGCGGTTTGAGAGCTAAACCATACGAGCAGTCCATGGAGAGGTCCTGCAACGGATTGCTCTCAAAGGAGCACTGGTGCAGCAAGATGGCAGTGAAGAGAAACACCTCCACTTTTGCAATCTGGGCACCAATGCATCTCCTCTTACCTATGGAGAAGATCATCACACTGTTGGTCAGATCTTTATCCAGAGCACCGTTCTCATCCAGGAATCTCCACGGGTTGAAGATATGAGGGTCGAGCCACTTTTCAGGGTCGTGGTTGACAGACCATTGGTTGATGAAGACTACGGTGTCTTTTGGGATGTTGAGGCCTTCGATGGAGACATCAGAGGTGGTGGAGTGAGGGATTGTGACAGGGATGAAGCTGGTGAAGCGCATTGTTTCAAAAATGAAAGCTTCTAGAACTGCAAGATCAGCTTTGTCTTCTACAGATGGCAGTCTCTCACGACCTACGACCTTGTCAATCTGCTCCTGAAGCTTGCGTTGGATTGAGGGGAACTTGACCAGAAGAAGAAGTATCCACTGCATTGCGGTTGACATGGTGTCTTGACCTGCACCAATGAGATCTGTGACTGTAGACTCAACAAAGTCTTTAGTGAGTGTGCTTTCCTTCCCATGTTCAATCACTCCTATGATGGCATCACTAATATCCCGGGTCACCTCAGGGTCGTATGTGTCTCTGTGCTGCATGACTTTGCCCTTCACATAAGCAAAGAACTCTTTGTTAACATTCTTGAAATTCTGATAGACACTTCGAATGGGGTTTGGAAATGTTTGGAGCCAAGGCATGACATCTACTAAGCTTCCAGCCCCAACGGTTTCACCAAACTTTTCCACTCGTCTTAGAAGAGTCCTGAATTCAGGATCATCATGTCCGTAGCGTTTTCCAAAGCAAAGTGCACACATGACATTTGCAGCTGCGACTGTGAATTCATACGATGGATTGAAAAATCGTCCTTCAGTGCTGAGTTTCAAAAACATCTGGACCAAGTCCATGGCTTCGCCAACCACATGCTGTTCGAAAGTCTTTTTCGTTTTGCTGTTTGCCATTGAGAATGCTCTCAAAGTTGATAGAGCAACTTTCCGATGCATCTTCCATTGCTTGCTGTAGTTGGTAAACGTCAAGCTTCGACCTCCAGAAATCATTTGGAAAGACACGAAATCTGGTCGTCCTGCAAATTCGGTGCTGTGCTGAATAAGTGCATTCCTTATCGCGGAATCTCCATTGAGAACCACGATATCACTGCGGCCCAGTCTGATCTGGTAGACGCTACCGTATTTCTTTGCCAACTTTGAGAAAGTGATGTGTGGCATTTGTCCCAGCTGCATGGCATTGCCCACCAGTGGCCATGCAAATGGACCAGGGAGTTTCTTCTTGAATGTGAGGTTTCTGACCCACAGACATGCCTCGAGGAAGAAGAGGATGATGAAGGATGCGATCAGAGCTGGCTGAACCTGACCGCTCCATTCCTTCATGATGCTGCTGCTCTGGAGTTCAAACTCTGCTTCCATTTCTTCGGGTTAACTTTTATTCTTCAGATGAGAAAACCAAAGTCTTTCATTCTGTTTAATGCAGAGTCATCAAGTTGTTTTCATTGAGTTCTTGAATGCATTCAATCGAGTTACATATATAAAAACGTAGATGCTCCCTTTTTCTTTTAACTGTGCGGATGAGCGCTCTGATTTTTCTGAGCTGCTTGGCTGGATTTGTGTGTTTTATATCTATTTCCTGCACAGGGGGCCGGACTCCTCATGGTCACTCTCTCCTCCCACAGTGCTTTCCATAGAGACTTTAGAGAGAGCTGAATGCCTTGACATCAGCGATGCTCACTAGAAAAACTATGAGCACTGGTTTATGTACAAACTTTCTATATCTAAATGTTCTGGACAATGAAAAAGCAATGTAATACTTTTACTGGTTAGTTTGCAAAGCATAGCAATCTTTAGCTCTAAGTTACATAACTCAGTACGGAAGATCCAATATGGCAGGGGTGTCAAACTCAATAACACAGGATAAACAAATACTGAACACACAAAGAATAAACATTGTTAAACACAAATATGAAAAACAAGTTCAGTTTGCTCGCACCTCACTTTTTGCCAAGCCTTTAAAAGTTGTTCTCTGCTATTTATGATACATGCTTTATAATATTATCAGATGTTTAACTTGTACATGTCTTATTGGGCTGATGCAGCATGCTCTTAGTAATGGCAGAGCTAAAGTCCTGCAAATCTTCCTTATCTGCCGAGAACCGCTGTCACCAGGGTTCATTGATGCATTATCATCCTGATATATGGAAAACATTATGTTCAGTGGTTATCCAGATTTTTCAACGATGCTCTGAAGCAAATATTTGATGTATAACAGTCTGTCCTAAATGTTTTAGAGAGAAGCTACATACTGAGATTTATCTGAACATGTATCAAAGTTGCTTTAAACCTTAAATTGTTTCCACTGATACCTGCAGGACATTCCTTTTGCTTTGTGCTGACTATTTTGGTAGGGAAGTGTGCCCCGTGTGCGTGCCTGGGCATCAGATAAATGCTTCTGGACTTCTCATAGGGGTCCGTTTATTTCTGCGGGAACCTAATGAGCTTAATTTCAGTGTATCTCGAGTCTCAGAGACAGCAGGGTTTAGTTTCTGGCCGATTGTTAGCTCTCTTTCCTGGTTGCAAAACTGTGGTGAAAAGGAGACGAGAGCAGAAGAAGCATACGCTGCCAAAACAATCAATTGTAATCCAGTTGAAATAGATTAGGTTTCTCCTGTTCAGAGAAGGTATTGCGTTCAGTTCAAATTTGGTTTTGGAGCTTGAATGTTTTTGTAATTGGTATCATTTAGAAGCAGCTTTTCGGAAGCAAATGATCCAAAAGACTTGTTCATATCTGCTCATTTGTTCTATCATGTGATTGTAGACCTACAAAATCCCCCTTTATCTGGGGTGGGATCATGGGAGTAGTTTTAGAAAGGATGTCCAGGCTCTCTTCTCCCCCTTTCGAAAATCTCCAGATTTTCAGTAAGTATCGACATAGGAGCATCGAGAAATGTCCTCACATGTTTTATATTATCGTCATAAAAATGGGTGTGGCCCCCACCTCTCCAAAAAAAAAAAGAAAAAACATGGCAAAGTTTTTAATTCATGTGCAACTGAAACCAAGCATTCTGAACAACTAGTAAAGATCCCAAAGAATAAATGGAAGAAAATGTAATTCAAGTAATTTTACACACATTATTTGAAAAAAGATTTTTCCCCGAATTCGATTCTGTGCACAAATTAAAATGCAGAAACAATTTACGAGCTTGTGCCATCCACGTCCATGTTGCATTTATTCCATTTTTTATTCTAAGTGAAAAATGCAAAAAAGCAGCTTTTGATAATGAAAATTACCGGTATGTGATTTGTTCCAAATTGTGTTTTTTAAATATATAAATAATTCGTTTTTTTGTTTCTTTTCCAATATTTGTCAATTTGCTGAATAACCTGGGAGTGAACTGAACAGTGGTGCTGCCTTAATATGACGTGACTTCAAAAATCAATAGCGGATAGGACTTGCGTCTTGTTTATAGATGCCTGTGGACAATACAGTCTACTGTTAACTGCAGCGTTGTTCAACTCTGTTGTGTAAACTTGATTTTCATACCACATTTTATCACAATTATCACATTTAGTTGAAAAACAGCTGAACTTCACATAATAGTATGTAGGTTTCATAACATTTAGCAGCTAAAACACCCCTGGTTTTGTTGTGATGTCATTCCAGAGGTTCAGCTAATTCCAGAATTGAGTGCTTTATAAGAAAGGATTTTTTTGTTTTTAAAAGAAGAGTTTTTCATTGTTTTTTTTTTTATTGAGTAAATCACTCACTCTAAAAAGCAAATACTCTCACAACTTTGAAAAACAGCTGAAACTCTTCTTTTTTCAAGAGTACTTACATGAATAAAAGGCTAATAAAGGAAACAGTGAACTGTTTTCTTGTGTGATGTTTAATTCTTACTTGCAACTGATGTTTTCTATTGTTATGCGTTAAATATAAAATAAAATCCAATGTTTTTAACTGATGTCTATGTATATGTTGGGAATCTGAAAAGCTAAACCAATGCTGTGCTTTAACAAAATGAAAATTTGCTATAAGATTAATTCCAAGCTTGCCAGAGCCATAACCTCTATTTCCAAGTAAATGGGTGGGATGGCCACCGGGAGATTGACACACAAAGCAGCACAGCGTGAAGGTGACTGATGCATGCCCAAAAACATCCTCATGCAATCATTTTCCCTTTAGATTAATTTTTCACTTAAATCTACATTTAATTTATTTCTCTGTATTATTTGTATTAGAATTGGTTGATTGTGGTTGATTTACTTATGAAATATATACTTTCTTTATGTTAATTCTTGTTTCTTTAGAGTTTTAGTCACCTTTGGACGGAGAGCAGAGATTTTCTTGTTGCTGCGCTGTTTCCTGGAACTGCATTGTCCATTCGCTAAAAGGGTTCCCTTGGAAACTGTCGCTTCTTTTTTTTTGTTCCCATGGATCCCCCGATCGACTATTCCATTTTGTTCATTAGTTAGAGGGGTTATGGTCCATTATTTATTTAAATATATGTAATTCATTAAACTGAGATTCCTTTCAATGTTATCTTTTGATGTTTAAAATGCAGTGCTAAATTCATTTTGAATATTTTTTATTGTTATTAGTTGTGCTTTGTTAACTAGTGCCATTTTTTAAGTCCTCTTGTT